CTCCCCCACTATTTTTACCAAAATCCGGCCTTGATTTGCATCTCTTTGCCTAGTTCTACAATTAGTCTATAATGGGAATTGTCTATTTACATGAACATGAGAGACTTTTTATTTGACTTCCATTTATGAATATTAAAGTCTATAAATATTGTTATTTGTTGTTAAGTTGTTTTGTAATACATTTTTAAAACTACTGTTTTTTCAAACTGGTAAATATTTTCAAAGCCCCCCTTCTTTCGTCTCCCTGTATTTTTTCAAAGCCCCTCCTTTCTATTTTTTCAAAGCCCCTCCTCCATTATGAGCAGTCCCTAACTCAATGTCAACACAGAAATTATGTCGGAAATATATTTCTATGTGCTATATTTTTTCGGGCGTCGTGTTTCCACACAATTATTTTCTTGTTTTCCCAATTGCCACTCGTGTTGATATAAAAGACCCATAGGTCCCATACTCGACTAGCAACATAATCAAGTTAGTTATATTAATTCATTATATAGGATCAATGTTAAAGGCAAGGTGGACTACAAGCTATAATTATTTGTATGGTTTATAGAAGGCTAACTGCTGTGAATAAATTGAATAAAGTGTAGCACAATATTAAATAGTTGCATGATGATGTCAAAGAGACTAGTCAGACTACATTTGCAAGTTTTGCAACTCTCATCGCTTAAATTCCCCATACCTGAATACAAAATAAACAGTAAACAACAATTAGCTTTTACATACCATACATAAAACGGAGTTTTCATCCTTTCTGGAAACTCACTTCCTGAACTTTTGAGCGCAAATGTAATGTACTAATGTATTAAAAATTTTAAATTGTGTATCATATTTACAGCGGTTAATACCATTAATATATTGCGGGCACAATACAAAACATGAGCATTTTAAAATTTAAGTTTTGATTTGCAAATAAATAAATAATATTTGATGTCACAAAAATTTTTAAATTTAACTGAACACAAACTGGTAAAGTTCATGACATGTATAATTTACTTATATGTTTTATATTGCAGTTCTGTACCCTACTCCTTTGAAAATTGTTTGCAATTGCATATGATGTTGTCATGTATTATAGTTGTGTCATGAATTTAATAATACCTCAGTGGCTTTGAATTAGACAATGGATGAAAAAAGTCATGAAAATTTAGTCATGTGCATACAGTGTATTGTTTGTTACCAGAACCCCCTCAAGCAAAATTCAACTTTTCTTGTCAAATTGTATATTTTGCTTCATACACTGCACACGTGTGTAATTGTGGGAACACTCACTCATGTTTGGATGCTTGGGATAAGTTAATGGTAATTTCACTGGAGTCATCATGGATATAGTTGAATATTCCTGAAATCACCTCTAAACACCTAAAACAGCATTCCCTAAAATTTTAATTGTTTTCTTAAATCACCCTGCATATCGCTCAAACACGCATTGCTTAAAAATTGCAGATTTTGCTTAAATCACATAGCTAAAATTGCTTATCTCGTTATCGCCCCAGAGTAGGGCCTACTGTTGCCATTGCTTTTTAGTTCCCAATACTTCAGTGAGTCATGCTTTGAAAATGACAATAATTTTTTTATTACCCAACCCTTGAGTTGTTTTGTTTTTCATTTACCCAACCTTATATTTACTCAAAATGTAGTTTATCCAACCCTTTTCTCTTCGGTGCCGCCCCCACCACCATAAATAATGACCGGTCCCTTATAACGAGAGAAGGAAGGAAACATTGAGACCAAAATAGCCCAGACTTGGCATATGTCACACGAAACTATCCTCGATTTTTCACTTTTAATGCATTTCTTTCACGATTAATCGATACCCCCTGCAAGAATGATACCGTATAACTCTCAAAACAACGATGCTTTAATCAAAGAGCTTAACTTCGCTCTGCAACCCTTGAGGGAATAACAAAATTGGCCAAAATATGTCCGCGTGCCGGGTTTGCTGTGCAAAAAGCGGCAGTCGTTGAACAACTCAAAATACACTCAACCCTGATTGGACAACGAATATCAACAAACATTTCATTTTCTTTTTAACAAACACAATGTGAAATACAATTTATTATACATATTAATAACGTACTACAGTTATATTTACATGCAGTAATATTTACACTTTATAACGTTTGTGAATAGTTTTGATGTATGATTGAAATTATTACAGTACTGTTAAAAAAATTTGAAATGTTTGTTGATATACGTTGTCCAATCAGGGTTGAGTGTATTTTGAGTTGTTCAACGACTGCCGCTTTTTGCACAGCAAACCGAGGGTTATACGGTATCATTCTTGCAGGGGATATCGATTAATCGTGAAAGAAATGCATTAAAAGCGAAAAATCGAGGATAGTTTCGTGTGACATATGCCAAGTCTGGGCTATTTTGGTCTCAATGTCTCCGTCCTTCCCTCGTTATAAGGAAGGCACAGGCGGGCGCGGGCAAATCGAGCCTGGGCCTCCTGTGATTTTACTACATCCCGGGCGTTCTTTGTCAGTGCCCGCGATCACAATTAGGATTATCAGCGGTTGAGTTCGCAAGTCAATATTCAAACAGATAAAAGTCATAAAACAGATTATTAAAACTTTTTTAAAGCACTTTAGATTTTATACCGATCCCAAACCCCAACCGGCCTAACTTTTAACAGTTAAAAAAGGCAGAAAAATAAGATGTTTTCTTTCAAACATCATGATTTCAGGAAACAATCAATGTTATTATCATTTACCGCAGACAATACTAGTTTTGATCGCGGGCACTGACAAAAAACGCCCGGGATGTAGTAAAATACGAGATTAACCGAAGTATATTTTGGCAACTAGAACATCAATACTTATATAGACAAACCAAAACAATCGTATATTTATACTCACCGCTTCGCCAAACATTCAAACGAGAAAAAGAGAAAAAGTTGAATATATTCTAAAATTTGGCGTCATTTTCTGAAAGGATATATGTGTAAAATACTCTTTATATTCAAGCGCTTTAGTGTAGAAAGTTTCGTATGAATACGGCGAGTTGAAACATTTATTTTGAAATTTCAAGGTATCGGGTTTTGCTCGCATGCGCGTGTATTGCGTAATACTTGGCCAATAAGGAGCTCCTTTAGCCGGGATGACGTCAAACTCACGCGGATGGGTGCATTTCGACCTGTAGAATCCATTTCTGGCATTTCCAGAATCACGCGATACAAGCATCGCATTGTTTCGACCGATTTTTCCTCCTATTTCCGGTTTGGATTATTGCAAATTCGCAGCAGAAATGTAATACTCGGCAGTAAAAGCAGGCGCGTAGCCAGCCCCATACGAATGGGGGGTCTAAAGTGAAAAATACATAAAAGTGCTGTTCTAAAAGCGGGGGACATAATCCCAGGGAATTTTTTTAATTTTAAAGTTAGCGAAACGCTCCCACGTGCATATTTGGCATGGCTTTTTGGTGATCTATATGTCACAGATTTGGTTTATTTTATTCCATAGATGAATTATTTACAAGATTAACAAAGCACGTGCGTATGAACTAATAAAATGACACGTCAAACTGATGGATAAACAAAGTTTTTATTATATGGAAAGCATCACCTCCGGTGAAATGACGGACTGTGGTTGGCTGAGAAGCACTTTCAGCGGTCTATATATATTATTTTCCGGTAATGGCCGGCGGTCCATGCATTTAACACAAAACATCAAAACTAATTGAAAATTTGAAAATTATAATTTTATTTGTTATTAATAAGATATCTGCGAATGGTTCTTCGACCAAATGTGCAGCACGTTACTAATATGCATTTCAAATAATGCATCATTTTTTGTTTGTTTCAAGTATAAATGCCCGAAAATAAACTTTTCATTAACCTCGTTCTTATTGTACAAACCTCGCCCTACGGGCTCGGTCTATACAAAAAAGACCTCGGTCCGATATTTCTGTAGACAGACCTCTCGTTTGGTTAATAAGAAGTTATTAATAAGTTGAGAAATGTTTTAATGCATTTTAAAATCGCTTTCCTTTTGAGACGATACGTGAATCATTGTGTTCTGTTTTCAGGAGTATAACTTTGCATCTAACTTTTAGATTACTTTTAGATTACTTTGATATTATAGTGGAAGTTTTCTAGGTTTCAAAGCAAATGTATCGACAAGAGAATGCAACTTAATATCTTCGGCTACATCTCTTTCGCTACTAACAAGAACCAAGCTTTCAAGTCTATCTTCACCCATGGTTGCTCTCATGTAATTGTTGATAATTTTAACTTTGCTCTGGCAACTTTCGCATGAAGCTATTGTAACTGGAATTGTAGCCGCAATACAAATAATTCTGTGAAGGTTTGGGTAAAGGCCAGCGTGATCACTTTCACCAAACTTCTTTAATATTAATGGAAGGTAAGGGTTCTTCCACCCCTGTTTCTTGCGTTCTTCCGTCTTCTCCATCAAACTGCGAAAGCATCCGGACTTTCGGAACAAGGAATATTCCCGACAGGTTGCTTCCTCGGGGATTTTGTATCTTCTTGCCAAATTCCGCACCTTTTCGATATTACCATCACTCCAACGCGCTGGATTGAATGCCGAGAATTGCGCCAATACTTCACATGATTCTACTGAAAATCTCCCTCTTCAGCTCCCTCAGCAGCAGATCAAGCAAACAATAGTGAAAATCAATGCGAAATTTATTTTCTGCCGACACTGTCGTGCTGTTTTGAGTTGACGAGGCAACGTGATGACTGGATGATGCATCAAGCAATGTTTGTCCATTGGCTAGACGATTTGGAAGCGCTCTACGGCGTTTGTTGCTGGGATCTCTCAAACTCGGCAAATTTTTCTTCATTCCGGAAAGAAGAAAATTTAGCGATGAGCGAAGTTACCGCATCCACAGCGGCCACAAAGTCCATTTCTTCTCTTTGAAGATATTCTGAAACGTACCTTGAAAATTCAAAGATCTCTTTCAAAATCAGCAATTGCAGGAGGAACTCGAACGATCGAATTTTATTTAATAGGCCTGTGCAAGTGGCATCAGATGATTCAAGCTCTTCTAGAGTGGCAATCGATGCTGCATGGTAAAGTGTTTATCGTAGCATTAAGATTGTCCTCCTTAGCCGTCCAACGAGTGTCAGAAAAGGCACGAAGAGCAGTTCTTCCATCTTTAATGGAAAATAATTCTAGCTTTCTTTCATAAACGGCGTTTCGTTGTGGTGACCCTTCCATAACCTTGTAGATTGCCCCAATCGTCGAAAAAACATCTTTCACAGGCTGCAAGGTTTCAGCGCACTTTTCAAGAACTAAATTCAGACAGTGGGCAAAACAGTGGAAGTATAAGAAAAGAGTTGCTCCAGCATCAGTTAGTTGCTGCTGCATGCCTTTTTCTTTTCCCGACATATTACTAGCGCCGTCGAAACCTTTCCCAACCATGTTACAGAGTGGTATTTGTAACTTGCCCAGTTCTTGAACTAATACACCCCATAACGATTTGCCTGTCAAACTAACTACTTCCTTGAGCCCGATCATGCGTTCATAAATGATGTTGTTAAACACATAACGCAACACAATTGACATATATGAGTGCTTATGACTGGTTACTTCGTCGCATTCAACCGAGTAGTACTTGCTTTCCTTAACTTGCATCTTTATAATATCCAAAATGTGATTTGCTAAAATTTCGATCATTTCGTTTTGAATATCGGGACTGAGCCACAAAACATTTCCAGGATATGTATCAAGCCATTTTTGCAGCGGAGGATGATACTTTGCAAGAAACTTGATTTCAGCTAGGAATTTTCCTTGGTTTAAGGATGAATCTTTTTCATCATGGCCCCCAAAAGCTTCGTTTTGAAGAATGATGTGACGAACGACATCAAATATAACTTCGGCTACTTCTCTATTTTCTTTTTTTTCTTGTTGTCTTCTGGATAAGTCTTCAGCCGCTACAGCAGAAAGCTGAGCATTGATTGGCACGTATGTTTTTCTACAGATGGCTCTTTCTCTACTTAACTGATGCATCCTTGACTTGCTATGTTTTTCTAACTTTCCTTCGTTTCCAACTGCTTTTTTCCAATTTCTAAAGCCTTGCTTTACGAACACAGTTCCTGAACAACCCACTGGAAAACAAGATGTTCATACTGACTGTTTGGCCGTCGGTTTTCTGTTTGATTTAGAAACTTTTCTTAAAATATTTTTAATTTCTTTCCCTCCTTTAACTGGAGCTCGCAAATAGTTTATTAGACATTTATTGGTTAGATTAGGCTTAGAGAAGGGGTTGGGGGTCTGTTTATCTTAAATATTTCGACTGCAGTATGAATAGCAAATCAAACTCGGCGTACTGTTCCAGTACGAATAACCACTTCGTTTACTAGATGTTGGGGGGTCGCGAATCTCGTGAAACTGCTGAGTGCTACAACGCCTAAAGGCCCACACAGACCGGACGCGATGTCGCAACGCGACGCGAATTTTCAATTTTCAATGGCATTTAACTTTAATATTTTTCTATGTGTTTCAAATATTCGGAACAACTTAAGCAATTTTAGCTATTTTGTCTGCATGTCTTGTAAAATTTTTATCCGTTGACGGTTTTATTTGTTTTTGAAAACTGAAAATTCGCGTCGCGTTGTCGAATCGCGTTCGGTGTGTATGGACCTTAACGGATGAAATCGACAACGCGGTGCGACTTTTCGATTTTCACTGACAGATAACTTTGATCCTAGTTTAAAATTTCCAAATATTTAGAAGCGCTATAACATTTTGAGTTATTTGGTTTACATATCTTTTAAAATTTGCTCTCATTGGCTCGGTTTTATTAACTATCAAAAACTAAAAAATCGCGTCGCGTTGTCGAATCGCGTCCGCTGTGTCTGGACCTTAAAAATTGCCAGGCGGTTATGTAAACAAATAAAAAACCGAATAGCTATAAACGATAAAAGTGTGTCTTAAAACAGAATACTGGGCAAAACATATGCCAAAGGTTACATTAAAAAGTACATAAACCCAAAACAAATATTAATCCATTGACTAAAATTAAAATTTATAAAAAATTGACCCAGTATGAGCTGTTTTCATGGGAAAAGTTTATAAATGTAGAAAATATCATTTCTCTCCTAGAAACGTCTATCAAACGTCATAGAAACGTGAAATGTATTAAAAGCACAATCAATTGAGTGATGTATTTTAAGAGCACTTAAATGGTTTTTGGAAGCCAAATTTTGATTTTGTTAAAGTTCAAAATCAAATATAATTTAATTAAGTGCCATAAAACAACATAAATTAAAAACATTGTTCAACAGGCGCTATAGTGAAAACGCCTATACAGCAAATTATAACGCAACAGGCACGACAAAACAGCTAACCTTCATCGGCTGATGATAATTTTGATTTTATTTAAAACCGAATGCTCTTGTATGCCTTATTAGTTGTTATCTTTTAAGTGGTCTTAACTCTGAACGTAAAAGAGTCGCTCATGTAAACCTGTCTTGACTTATTGCTTACAACGAGTTAGTTTTAAAATACAGCATACAAATCAAGCCGAGAAAATATTATATCTCGCAAGCGAACAATTACTGTACAACTTTCCTAATATGCCACAACTTAGTACCTTGATTCCCAAATATTCTGCAACAGAAACAAAACGTTGCGTCTTTCTCCACCGAATACTCAAGCCAATCGAATAAAGAATACCACCTTTCCTGAAATCGTAGCGATTTCCCGCCAAACGTTGTTCTTGGAAAGTCTAATTTCGGTCTCACAGGACCCAGCGACATAATTCGCTCCACATCTGCAGTCGATTCACTTGCAGGATCACGGGCTGAATCCATTATTCAATTTCAGAATAGTATTTATAAATTATTAATAAAGATATTAGATATACTAGCTTCTTACAGTACTGTTGTTTTATAAATTGATGTTCATCTCGCATTCTGAGCCTGCGTTGTTGATTTCTTTAAAAATATTCGCAACTTGCACCCCCCCCCCCAGTTTCTTCTCATTTTTGGAAGAATTACAATATTGATCTTTACAAAAAGGGGGGGACCCCCCCCCCCCTTGGCTACGCGCCTGAGTAAAAGTCACACTTTAAAGATATAGGCATGAAAATAACACTATACATGTTATTTTTAACTGCTTAATTCATCAAGAGTATCAGAATGAGCATGCGACTCAATGGGCCAAAGTTATGTTCGGCGAAAGGTATGTCTAAGTTTATAATTTGTTAGTAATATTGCGTAATTTGATCATATGCGAGTTCGCCTGACTTTCAAAGCTCATAAATCGCTACAATGTAGCCATTGTCTAAAACTATCATTATAAATTAGTATATATTTTTACACTGAATCGAATGGTGGTATTTTCATCTACATAGCGTTTACTGAACCGAAGATATGAATGAAACATACTTAGTACGTGCACGTACTAAGTTTTATGGGCCGTGCTTAGCCCGCGTGCAGGGCCAAGGGAATTGACATCAGTTCCCTTGGGCCTGCACGCGGGCTAGGCCGTGCTTTAAAAGAGTTAATAAGAATATCATGGTTAGAATTAGCTGAAGTAACAATTTTAAAATCACTTGGTTCAATTAGCCTTTTTCACGCCGCCATTTTTGGGTGGCATTTCAGCTGAAGTCTGCGAGCAGAGGAGGTTGGACAGCTAATTAGCGAGTTGTCACGTGAGCTCTCGACCAATGAGATCGCTCTATTTTCCATCGTGTTATCTCACTTATCTGCAGAATTTGGACAGAAAATTAGCATTCGACGGAAAATAAATCGGAAAAAATATTAATATTAAAATTTTCTTGCAAAATCTCAAGTGTTGTAGTACTACAACTAAAGATCTGGTGATATCTGCAAAAATATCTGAGGTAAACTTTATTACCTCCGCCAGGAGGTTATGTAATCATCTGGGTTTGTATGTGTGTGTGTATGTGTGTGTGTATGTGTGTGTGTATGTGTGTTTGACTGTGAGCACAATAACTCAAGAAATACCAAACATATCCGTACGAAATTTTTTGAGTGCATTTCCCATCGGCCAAGGAAGAACTGATTAAAATTTGGTTAAATTTGGTTAAAAATTGAACGAGAAAAGAAAAAACGTTTGTCTTGCTTTTCCCGGTCAATTAAATAAAACTTATACTGAATGCGTAATTAGGACGTGCATAATATATGCACCAGCCATTCAAATGCTAATAACAATAGATTACTTCAATATTTTGCGCGTAGGCGGAGGTATGCAGTCTCTGAGTGCCCTCTAGTTTTCAATGTTATTTTGATGTTTGAAGTTAGTCGACTCCCCGCGACCTACGTGTTGACTCAAGTCTAAATATGTTTACAATGTTTAAAATGAAATATCTAGAATTCCCATGGTTCGATTTTCTTCATTTTTGGTAGTCGTCCAGACAAAAGTATAAGCTTTGAATCTGCTGGAATGATCCCGGTGATCCCCGGCAGTTTTCGAGACATTGACCGTTGAAGTTACTACTGTCAACTCAACGTTCGCTAAAATGGCGTCTAATACCGTGGAAAGAATTTATGCCATCAAAGATGATATTTTCAATGAATTCTTGTTAAAGTGTTAAAATATTATTTAGAAGACTTAGGAGTTGTTTTAATATTTTTGTAGAATTTATATCTCTGCGATTTTCAAAGTTTTGTTGTCTTTGGCCGACGCGACTGTATCGTGCACGTATTTCAAGACGAACTGATCGCCTGATCCTGGGGTTTTTGTGGCAAATCGAGCTGCGGATCCTCAGCATGGACAAATCAGTGTCATAACAGCTCATTTTAAACCATCAGAGAGCTCTACTTGTTTTAAAACAATAAAACAAGTTTTTATTGTATTATCATACGTATCATATATAAACAAATTAAGGGAGTGGTCATTATTTATGGGAAGAGGGGTTGGTAAATGGGGAAAATAAGAATTTTGACCCCCCTCCAGACTGAAGGCAAACTTTTTGTGCCCCCCCCCTCATAAAAGTAGAAACTTTTCTGACCTTCCAGTGTGTGGATTGAAAAATTAACAGCAATGAAACAGGCGTGCATTGTAGGTGAAGTTAGATATTAGGACAAACCGTTTAAATCTAGCTCATGTTTTACACTAGCTGATGAATATGATTCAACCTTATATGATTAAAAAATATATATTATGTGTTACTACTGCAATGCAACATTTGTCCTACCAACCCTAACCCATGGCCCGTCTTGATACAGCGAAATGATTTGAACACAGGGCTTTTTTTAAGAACAGATGGTTGTTGGTGACAAAAAGTTTGGTGTGGTATTGTATGTATTAGTACGGGGGTCTGGGGAGAGTTTTTTTGTAATTTTCCCAAGAACTGAAATGTGAGCATTTTCTGAAACAGATTTTTGGATATACAGCATAACATTGTGCTTTGATAGACCGAATCTGGTCAGTTGAGTGCACTTGCATGGTATGTTTATGTAAATACCACAACTGGGTCACTCAGGGGGTAGAAAGCTTGTTAAATTTAGTAGGTACCACTCCCACAAGGTGCCAACCATGGTTGGCACCGAGCAGGGAAATTTTGAAAATTTTGAGTCTCCAGATCATTGGAAATGGCATTTTCAGTCTTGCTATTTGTGATTATAGAAATCAGAAGAGACATGGTATTTAATTAAGTTCAAAAACATTTTTGACCCCCTTTCTTTGTGTTAAAACTTTTTTGACCTCCCTATTTATAAGGGTAAAACTTTGTTTCCCCCCCCCCTCCCATTTACCACCTCCCCTCCCCATAAATAATGACCACTCCCTAAGTGGCATGTTATTGTTGGGATAACCTGAGTATCGGGCTCTATTTTACAAATAGAGCCTGACACAAAACTTAACCTGATCGCTTTCCACCCACAGCAAAGTTTATATTTAGTATCCAATCAAAATGTCGCAGGAGAAATTTAAATTTCACACAACGACAACAACAATCTAATTATAGCATAGACAGCCCACTAAACGGCTGAATTTAAATTAAAACTGCAATGAACTTATAAAATTAACAAAAATAATCACAAATTAGCGAAATATATTGCAAATGTAGCTTATATTAAATCGCCACCCGATTGCTCTCTCCTCCGCAGAGGTTTCAGTGACTACAATGAGCTTTACATGGCGCTTACCGTATTTATCAACAAACTGACATATAATTATAAAGTATATATATATTAAGTATACTTTATAACTATACGTCAGTTAGTCGATAGTGCAATCTGATGGCGATTTAATATAAGCTACATTTGCAATATATTTCGCTA